CATTATTCTTCTCAGCCTCTCCTGTATTAAGCTGCACTAATGTGCAAATTTCACCACTGTGGGATCAATAAAGTTTTATCTTATCTTATCTTATTTTTATTTAGGTTAAAGAAAGAACACATGACAAGACACACGCCAACTCTTATTCTGTTATGGCCTTATGGCTACAATGATCAGAAATTATAAAATCCAATACTGCATCTAAAATCCAATTAATCAGTTACAAAATTTGCTGTAACACTCGAACAGCTTGCTTTGTCTGTTAATGTTTGAAGTATGTGTTGTGAAAGACACTACTGAGCCCCTAAAGTGACATTGGGTGAAAACAAATTCTCTCTCGTTCCCACCAGTTAGCATCTCGTTCCCACCAGTTATTAAGTCGTTCCCACCAGTTAGTATCTCGTTCCCACCAGTTAGTAAGTCGTTCCCACCAGTTAGTATCTCGTTCCCACCAGTTAATAAGTCGTTCCCACCAGTTAGTATCTCGTACCCACCAGTTAGTAAGTCGTTCCCACCAGTTAGTAAGTCGTTCCCACCAGTTAGTATCTCGTTCTTACCAGTTAGTAAGTCATTCCCACCAGTTAGTAAGTCATTCCCACCAGTTAGTAAGTCGTCCACACCAGTTAGTATCTCCTGCGCACAATTTAGTATCTCATTCTCACCAGTTAATAAGTAATACCCACCAGTTAGTATCTTGTTCACACCAGTTAGTGAGTTGTGCGCACCACTTAGTAATTTGTACGCACAAGTTAGTATCTCGTGCGCACCAGTTAGTAAGTCGTGCACACACATAGTAAGTCGTTCGCACAAGTTGGCATCTAATGCGCACCAGTTAGTAAGTTGTGCGCACCAGTTAGAAAGTCATTCCCACCAGTTAGTATCTCGTTCCCACCAGTTAGTAAGTCATTCCCACCAGTTAGTATTTTGTTCACACCAGTTAGTAAGTCGTGCGCACCAGTTAGTAAGTCGTGCACACCGGTTAGTAAGTCGTGCACACCAGTTAGTAAGTTGTGCGCACCAGTTAGAAAGTTGCTCCTACCAGTTATTATCTCATTCCCACCAGTTAATGAGTTGTTCCCACCAGTTAGAATCTTATTCCTACAAGGTAGTAAGTAGTTCCCACCAGTTAGTATCTCATTCCTACCAGTTAATAAGTCGTTCCCACCAGTTAGTAAGTCGTGCGCATCAGTTAGTAAATCGTGCATACCAGTTAGTAAGTCGTGCGCACCACTTAGTAAGTTGTACGCACAAGTTAGTATCTCGTACACACCAGTTAGTAAGTTGTGCGCACAAGTTAGCATCTCGTACGCACCAGTTAGTAAGTTGTTCCCACCAGTTAGTATCTCATTTCCACCAGTTAGTAAGTCGTGCGCACCAGCTAGTATCTCGTGCGCACCAGTTGGTAAGTCAGTCCCACCAGTTGTGAGTCATTCCCACCAGTTAGTGTCTTTTGTGCACTAGTTAGTAAGTCGTGCGCACCATTTAGAAAGTCTTTCCCACTAGTTAGTATCTCGTTCCTACCATTTAGTAAGTTTTTCCCACCAGTTAGTGTCTTTTGTGCACCAGTTAGTAAATCGTGCGCACCATTTAGAAAGTCTTTCCCATTAGTTGGAATCTCATTCCTACCAGTTGGTAAGTCATTCCCACCAGTTGATATATTGTTCCTACCATTTAGTAAGTTGTTCCCACCAGTTAGTATCCCATTCACACCAGTTAGTAAGTCATGTGCAACAGTTAGTAAGTCGTTCCCACCAGTTAGTAAGTCGTTCCCACCAGTTAGTATCTCATTCACACCAGTTAGTAAATCGTGTGCAACAGTGAGTAAGTCGTTCCCACCAGTTAGTAAGTCGTTCCCACCAGTTAGTAAGTCGTGCACACCAGTTAGTAAGTCGTGCGCACCAGTTAGTAAGTCGTACGCACCAGTTAGTAAGTCGTACACACCAGTTAGTAAGTCGTTCCCACCAGTTAGTAAGTCCTGCACACTATTTAGTAAGTTGCATGCAAAAGTTAGTATCTCCTTCCCACCAGTTAGTATCTCGTTCACACCAGTTAGTAAGTCGTGCGCACCAGTTAGTAAGTCGTGCATACCAGTTAGTAAGTCGTGCGCACCACTTAGTAAGTTGTACGCACAAGTTAGTATCTCGTACGCACCAGTTAGTAAGTCGTTCCCACCAGTTATTATCTCATTCCCACCAGTTAGTAATTCGTGCACACCAGCTAGTATCTCGTGCGCACCAGTTGGTAAGTCAGTCCCACCAGTTAGTGAGTCATTCCCACCAGTTAGTGTCTTTTGTGCACTAGTTAGTAAGTCGTGCACACCATTTAGAAACTTTCCCACTAGTTGGAATCTCATTACTACCAGTTAGTAAGTCGTTCCCACCAGTTAGTATCTCGTTCCTACCATTTAGTAAGTTGTTCCCACCAGTTAGTGTCTTTTGTGCACTAGTCAGTAAGTCGTGCGCACCATTTAGAAAGTCTTTCCCACTAGTTGGAATCTCATTCCTACCAGTTAGTAAGTCGTTCCCACCAGTTAGTATCTTGTTCCTACCATTTAGTAAGTTGTTCCCACCAGTTAGTATCCCATTCACACCACTTAGTAAGTCGTGCGCACCATTTAGAAAGTCTTTCCCACTAGTTGGAATCTCGTTCCTACCAGTTAGTAAGTTGTTCCCACCAGTTAGTATCCTGTTCACACCAGTTAGTAAGTCGTGTGCAACAGTTAGTAAGTCATTCCCACCAGTTAGTATCTCATTCCTACCAGTTAGTATCTCATTCCCACCAGTTAATATCTCATTCCCACCAGTTAGTAAGTCATGCGCACCGGTTAGTAAGTCGTTCCCACAGTTAGTAAGTTGTTCCCACCAGTTATTATCTCATTCCTACCAGTTAGTATCTCGTTCCCACTAGTTAGTATCTCATTCACACCAGTCAGTAAGTCGTTCCCACCAGTTAGTATCTCGTTCCCACCAGTTAGTATCTCGTTCCCACCAGTCAGTAAGTCGTTACCACAAGTTATATCTCGTTCACACCAGTTAGTAAGTTGTTCCCACCAGTCAGTAAGTTGTTCCCACCAGTTAGTAAGTCGTGTGCATCAGTTAGTAAGTCGTTCCCACTAGTTAGTAAGTCATTCCCACCAGTCATGCGCACCAGTTAGTAAGTCCTGTTCACCAGTTAGAATCTCATTCCTACCAGTTAGTAAGTCGTTCCCATCAGTTAGTATCTCTTTCCCACCAGTTAGTATCTTGTTCACACTAGTTAGTAAGTCAGACGGACATGGCCACTGAGCTTAGGGTGTCACAGAGTGTCATCTCTGGGTTGCAACAGATACCGAGAGACTGGAAGAGTCACAGAGAGCTGTAGAAGTGGACGTCCTTTGGCAACATCCCTTGCTGATCACCGCTACATTTTGAACAATACCCTGAGAAACCGGATGATTAATGCCACTCAACTCCAGGCATGGTTAAGGGAGGTAAGAGGCACCCAAGTCTCACGTCAGACCATTCAAAACCAGTTACATCAGCGTGGTCTGCGTGCTAGATGACCTGCAAGGGTACCTGACCACACCACCAGGCACAGGTGTCATCATCTTGCATGGGGCAGGGAGCATTTATGCGGGACCAGTGGGCCTCAGTGCAATTCTCTGATGAAAGTCGATTCACATTGAGCAGAAATGAAGGCCGCGAGTGATGTTGGAGATGTCAAGGAAAGTGCTATGCATCAGCCACTGCTGTCATCAGACGAGCTTTTGGTGGTGGCGATGTTACAGTGTGGGCAGGTGTGTCCAATCGGTACAGAACTGCCCTAAACTTTGTGAATGGTACAGTGACAAGCCCACACCACCTGAATAACATTATTAATCCAGTGATTGTGCCCCTACATGAACAACACAAGCCTGATTTCATCTTCATGGATGACAATGCTCCAGCTCATCAAGGTCGCATAATCAGGGAACGGCTGTTGGAGACTGGTGTACCTCAAATGGAATGGCCTACACTTCTCCAGACCTGAATCCCATTGAAAACCTGTGGGGTCAGCTGAGTCGCCTTGTAGAGGCTTGAAACTCTGCACCCCAGAACCTCAATGACCTGAGGGCTGCCCTTCAAGAGGAGTGGGATGCCATGCCCCAGCAGACAATAAGTCGACTTATGAACAGCATGAGACGTCGTTGTCAAGCTGTAATTGATGCTCAAGGGCACATGATGAGTTATTGAGATGTTGAAATTTTTGTTGTGGTGTACCCACAATTGTTGTTAACTTTTGTTTCAATAAATTGTTTGAGATCACCAGTGCATTCTTTTACTTAAATGTCCTACTTTCATGATATGATATCACTGTAGCGTGAACTTTTTACATTTTCCATTAAATTCACCTGAAAGCCAAATATCCCTATTTTGTGAGTGGTGTACAGTATAAGGTGAATTCATTATTATAGTGAAGAGAAGTTGTCAGTGTTTTGCAGAGTGTCTGTTCAGAACAGAGCTCCCGTGTTTGTTTTGATTCAGGCGAAGTTTGTACGCTGAGGCCTGTGCTGCTCAGTTGTAACATTCAGCTTGGTTTAAAGTGAACTTTACAACATAATCAGGGAATCATGACCCAGGCATCAGGTAACAATTAATAATACTTTTTAAAGGAATCCGCTAATATTATGGAGCATTTAAGTTATCAACCAAAAGTTTATTCAACCATGCACAAAAAATAAATTAAAAATAAATGTTTACACACTTGAAATATTTCCAACTAATAACAGCTTAAACTTTTTTTTTTTTTTCAGTTTACATCAAAAGCAGGCTCCTAAAGTCCAATTACTTTTGATCAGGCTGAAGTCCTTAATAGAGTTCCATGTACTCAAAATTGAATCGTCCTGAAAACACTTCCCATTTGTTGGCATTAAATCTCAGTCCAAAAAATAAAGTCCAAAAAGTCAAAAATCCCCCTCAAAAAGACGAAAAAATAGTGGTACCACACAAAAACAGTCAAAAATGAAAAAGCTTTGATCTCACCCAGGGCTCTGTTCTTCCTCTCGGTGACGTCCTTTCACTTGTGTCGGCGTTTTCCTGGATCCCGACAGTTTCTGATTCTGTGATCTGTGGCGCTGGGGTAAAACTATAGTCACTTTCTCTTGTTTTTTCATAACATTTGTTTAAACATCCTTCAAAAAGAAAACAAAACTCCCGCTGCACAGATCTGATGGAGTGAATGTCTCTCAAGGGGTGGACACGCTCCCCTTTTAATCTCTCTGCTCAGTCATACCTGAAACCATTAATGATCTTGCCCAAAATCAATTCCAAACAGTGAATAACATTTAGATAATCCATAATGAAAAAACTGAAACTGTCCTAACAAACAGTTGCCATATTTATATACCACTTTTTTTCTTTGAAAGGAACATAAACATCATGGTTATATTACACAGTGCTTTGTGAACCTGATTCTAGAAGATTATGTAGTGAATTTCATGTACTGTGCCTTTAAGAAATGTGAACGCGCGTCCGAGCGTGAGTGCGCCCTTTGTTCAGAGTCCAACTTTCCATCTCGCTGTGAGGACCTGTCCTATCTCTCTCGCTAATAAAGATTGTCCAGAACTGAAGATTACCGTCATTTTTTCATTCATGTGTTAGCCGAAGAGTTTTTTAACATTCGACAAGTCTTCAGGTATGGAAGCGATTGTGTTCCATAATCCTAATTAAAATGGATTAATAGAAATGCTGTTTCATTTTCAACATGTACCTGATTTTTTTGACTCATAAGTAAAATTATAAATACATAATCCAAACTGTATG